GGTTAGCAGTCAAATGCCTTAGGCACTACGCCACCAGACCTCCGCTGAGCACAATTAAGTGTTCTGTAATTTCCATTCTTCAAAATGTTATCTATAGTTTGTTACAATCCATACAGTCAAATGCCTTTCCATTGTCAACAAAACACAGGTAAACAGCTTTCTGGTATTCTCTGGCCTGAAGTACAGTGAATTACTTAACATGGACTTCTAGTCATAGTTTTAGCAACTCTCAACAAATGACTGGGTGGGACTATGCAGATGAGGTGCTTGTGGCCCACCAAGTGGACTAGACAGCTTGCTAATGATATATGTAAGATGCATGCACTCTTGTGGGGGTGGGACCATGCAAATAAGGTGTATGGAACACTGAAGAGGGGATTGGTCAGTTTTGCCATCCAGTTAGGTTTAAATGCTAGGCTATTCTAGAGGCAGACAGGTGGGGACTTCACCACCACAAAGGAGAGATGGGAGCAGAGCGTATCCTTTGGACCCAGGATTTCTGTCCAGGGACCTCCTGGACCCAGAAGAGAGAAAGAGTTGTAACACTGGAGACAGAGAGAAGTAGCAACAGAGATACAGCAGCAGCAGAGACAGTAGCACCAAGGGACCCTCAAGAGATGGCACAATGGGCTTCCTGACCCATGGAGTGGAAGTTCAGGCAGGAGGCTTGTTGGCAGAGTAGGGTGCCTCTGGGCACTTGGTGGTGCTAGCTCTCTGACCCATAGATCAAGAGAAATGAGTTCCTTTGGGGAGGAGGCTTGCTGGTGGAGTGTGGTGCCTCTGGACACAGATTGGTGGAGCTAAAGAACTCTGTTTACACTTGAAAGAGCAGGGAAGATGTCTGGCTGAGGGGCTGCAGGGTAGCAGGGGCCAGAGGCCAAGGGCCATTGAGAGGCATGCCTGAGGGCATGGCTAAGCTGTCCTGACCAAAGAGCTGTATCCTGGGTAATTTCTGATTCTGAACTGTAATCTATCACTTCCCTGATAAACCCCATAAGCATGAGTATTTTCTATGAGTTATTTGGCCGGTACAACAGATTATCAAACCCAGCAAAGAAACAGAGCATGCCATGGGAGGACAGTTGGTGGCAGAGTTGGTTAAAAAAACCACTGGAATGAAGGTATAACTGACATTTTCATCATAGGAATCAGACTTGGGCTGTAGATCTTGATTCTCCTTCCACCTCGTGAAGTTAGAGGTGGTCAGATGCCACTCCCACACCACTTTTACAGTTGTATTTTTTTTACAATTATACTTTAAGAGGACAGATTAAGTAGTATCTTAGATTTTTAATATTAAAGAGGTCATTTGCAGCAAATGTTCCCATGCAGTACTTTGTTAGATTTCTTGACTGATGCTTCCATGGGTGTTGATTATGGATCCAAGTAAAATGAATCTTTAACAACTTCAATCTTTTTTCCATTTATTTTGATGTTGCTTACTGGTCCAGTTGTGAAGATTTTTATGCTGAGGTGTAACCCATACTCAAGATTGTAGTCTTTGATCTTCATGAATATGTGTCTGAAGTCTTCTTCACTTTCAGCAAGCAAGGCTGTACCATCTGCATATTGTAGATTGTTAATGAGTCTTCCTCCAAGCCTGATGCTGCATTCTTCATTTAGTCTAGCTTCTGGAATTACTGGCTCAGTATACAGATTAAATAAGTACGGCGGAAGGGAACAACACTGACACACACCTTTCCTGGTATTAAACTTGCAGTATCCCCTTGCTTGGTCTGAACTGCCTCTTGGCCTATGTACAGTTCCACATGAGCACATCTAAGTGTTCTGCAATTCCTACTCCTTGAAATGTTATCCATAATTTGTTATGAACCACACAGTCACATGATTTTGCACAATCAATAAAACACAAGTTTAGTATTTTCCTGGTATTCCCTGCTTTCAGTCAAGATCCAGTTGACATCAGCAGTGATATCCCTCATTCCATGTCCTCTTCTGAATTTGGCTTGAATTTCTGGCAATGTACTGCTCAACTCTTTGAATTATCTTCAGCAAAATTTTACTTATATGTGCTATTAATGATATTGTTAGAGCATTTCTGCATTATTTGGATCACCTTTCTTTGGAACGGACAAAATACAGATCTCTTCCAGTTGGCTGGCGAGGCAGCTGTCTTCCAAATTTATTGGCACAGACAACTGAGCACATCCAGCATTGCAATCATTTGTTGAAACATTCAACTGATATTCTGTCAATTACTGGGGCTTTGTTGTTTTTGCCAATGCCTTTGTGCAGCTTGGACTTCTTTCAATACCATCAGTTTTTGGTCATATACTACCTTCTGAAACAGTTGAACTTCAACCAACTCTTTTTGGTACCATGACTGTGTATTCTATCTTCTTTTGATGCTTCTTGCATTCTTCAATATTTAGTCCTTAGAATCTGTCAATACTGCAACTTGAAGCTTGAATTTTTTCACCATGTTCTTCCGTTTTGGTTTTCTAACTCCAGGTTTTTGCACATTTCATATTTTAGTTTGCCTTCTGGAGCCACTTTTGAAATCTGTTCAGCTCTTTTACATTATCATTTCTTCCATTTGCTTTAGCTCTTTATTCAAGAGCAAGGTTCAGACTCTCTTCTGAGACGTTCATTTATCTTTTGTCTTTTAATGACCTTTTGCTTTCTTCATGTGTGATGTCATTGATGTCATCCCAGAGCTTGTCTGTTCTTTGGTCATTTGTGTTCAATGCATGAAATCTATTTTTGAGATAGTCTCTAAATTCAAGTGGGATATACTCAAGGTCTTATTCTGGTTCTTGTGGACTTAATTTTCTTCAGTTTCTAGATACTTATTATTTTGATAAACACCATTATAAAGTATCATCATGACCATATTAATTACAGTGAAATCTGTGAGACCGGAATTTGATGAGACAGTTTTGTTCTTCTGGATGTGTTAAGTCTTCCATCTTTGACAGAGTACAGGCTTACCACTTTTCTATTGTTCGTTTTAACAGAAACTATTTTGAGTTTTCATTTTCTGATAGGTTTCTGGCCTTGCAGAGATTCTGTTTTTGCAGGTTTAAATGTATAAAGTAAATTTAAATCCTAACGACAAATAAAACAATGTTCCAGGGTCTGCTGTGTGCCAGGAGCTGGTGGATACATTACAAACCTGCTCAGTCATCATCACCTTCTACTTTAGACATGAAGAACCTAATCTCAGAGCAAGATTACAGTCAAGAAGCCACAAAACTGTTATTAAAGCCTAGATGTGACTAAAAAGTCAGCTGCCTTTCTATTGGGCAATGTTGCCATCATAAAATAAGCTTGTTCTCTCAACCGTGAAGCTGAGAATGGAGAAGATGGAGTTAGCAGGAAGCTGGAGGAGAATAGAGAAGTTACATATAGCAATTACATAAAGGAAGGGAAGGGAGAGCAAGTCAGCAATGTCAATGGTAGACCCTAAAGACTAAACTCACTGCCATTGAGTTGGATCTGACGGGTTTCCAAGGCGGTGTCATTATGGAAGTGCATTCCCCAGTCTTCCTTCTGAGGAGTGGCTGGTGGGTTTGAACTGTCAGCCTTTGGGTTAGCAGTCAAATGCCTTAGCCACTATGCCTCCAGAGCTCTTAAAGGCTAAACATAGAACCAACCTGAGTTAATCAAATAGCCTTTTGCCTCCAAACACTAGAACTAATCAAGATAGACAAATATAGCTCCTTTATTTAAAATTCTGAAAAAGAAATCTCAAACGCCATTTTGATAGCCTTAGCTGATAGTTAACAGCTATTAATTTGGACAAGCTCATCTTTAAATTCCATCTAATACTTCTCTGTTGCCATTTGACCTGGCTTTTAATAGGAATAGGAGAAATGTAAGTATTAAACACTTACACACCAACCGCTTATAAAGATTGTTAAACTCTCAAAAGCTATCTGCAGTTATATCTGGCACTCTGTACAACATTTTTTAAGATGTTGAAAATTAAAGAAGCTCACAAACACCAAGATGCATTTATAATTAAAAGCTCTATGTGGTAGTTTGGTTTATGTGTCAACTTTGCTGGGCCTGGTTGAGTGGCTGGGCAGCTGGTGGTAGTTAATCCCTATGAGGAGACTGGCAATCAACTTCATGGCATGATCTACCACAAGCAGCTGGGGAGCTGCCTTTGGGTATGTGTGGTCTGTTTCCTGTATATAAGGAGAAGCCTTTGGGAATGGTCTCTAGCTTATGGCATGCTTGGACCCTGCACATAGCCGTGTTGTTGCTCAGTAGCCTGCTATGCTCTGCCAACCTTGGGACTTATAATGGACTTAAGTTAATGGCCTGCCATGTGGTTTGGCAACATTGGGACTGTGCCTTTTTACTTGTCAACCTTGGGGGTTTCTCAGTCAGCAGCCAGCAGCTGTCTGAGTGAAGAAATGCCTCTAGCTCCAGAGGGCCAGGAGCAGGAGGCAGAGCTGGACCCCAAGGTTGAGGGGCTTTCACCCAGCCCCTAGAGCCTGGAACTTTGAACTTGGACTTATAGCCTCCAAATTTTAATGAACTCCTGTTTGTTAAGGCCATCTTGTCAGAGCAGCACTAGGTAACCAGAACATTCTACAATTGGAATATCCTAAATGTATCACAAAATGAATTGCTGAAGTTTCTTTATACTATTAGAATGCTCAGCCTTGACTAAAAGATAATTTAATTTCTTTAACTCACATTTCTTCCACTTACCAAGCTTTAAGCCAGACAAATTTTTATTTAGTAACAATGATGACATTATTTAATCATTTTTTTTTAAATTAATAATAGGATCATTATACCTGTGCAATCAGCTCAAGTGTTGAGTGACAAGGACAAAGGTGACATAAGTTTTATAATTACTATAAATAACTTCCACAGGTGAGGATATTAGCACATGTGAATTCCAAAGCCAATTGTGGAAGATGATTTTTGTGAAACACATCTTAAAGAGAAAACATTTCTGAAGATGTCATACTTCACTGCATGAAAATAAAATGTTTTACAGTACTGATTTACTGTATTTGATGTATTTTGTAAGAGAAATACTTAAAATAATACACTGGAATTCATGACAGAAGTAATACAAAGGAACAGATGCTTGAATGAGACCTACTGGGAAATACATTCCTGTTTTTTATCATCTAATCCTTCTGATAAGAAAAGCTTCTACTGTTAAGGACAAACTTGACCTTCCTTGAAATGTGTTGTCCACTGCTTTTCTGTTTCTGTCACCGTTGCCATAAACAGTTGTTTAAGGATGTCCTTATCTAAATTCTTGCCTGCAACAGAACAAAATATGATTACTTTACACTTATTAAGGAGCTCTGGTGGCATAGTGACTGGTTAAAGCATTCAGCTGCTCACCAAAAGGTTGGCAGTTTGCACCCACCAACCACTCCATGGGAGAAAGATGCGGCAGTATGCTTCTGTAAAGACATCTACTCTACCCTATAGGGTCACCATGAGTCAGAATAGACTCGATGGTAAATGGGTTTGGTTTTTCTTTTTTTCAAACACTTATTAAACTGACATGGTTTACCTACCAATTCTAGATCATTAAATGTTTAATGAGCTTCCTAAATTCACAAACTGAATGATTCCTTCCTTAACTTTCTAGTTGGGGCCCTCACAGACAAACTGGCACTTGAATTAATTGCTTTTCTAAAAAGAGTAAAACACTTTAATCACAAACTTACTGAGGTCTGCAGATGGGGCTCTGACTGGCTCAGACTCTGCTAAAGAAGCCCACCTGCCCTTTCAGGTCTGTTCTTCACTGTTTACGGTCAGCGACTTGGTAACTTACCGATAAAGACCAGTCTGTTTGTCCTCTCGGTGTCACTCTCCCAGCTCACAGGGGTCTCCTCCAGGTCATAGAGTTCATGCACACCCTGGACGATCACTTGTTGTGGTTTATCTTTGATGGACACTAGCCCCTGTTCCGAGGTCAAGGATTAAACAGGCTCAGTTTAATTTAAAAGCAGAAACACAGCATCCCTGTTAATGGACTAATTATTCCTACTCCTTTTTCTTTTCAAATTAAGAAATATTTATAATCTACATGCCAGAAAAAAGCAAACCAGCCGCCATGAGGTTGCCTCCAACTCTCGGTGCCCCCACGTGCGTCAGAGTAGACCTGCTCCATAAAGCCCTTTTAATAATACTTTATTTTCAGTGAAGGTAACGCAACTGTTTAGGTTCCAGTCAACAATTTCTACAAACATTTAGTGACATTGGTTACATTCTTCACAATTCATGAACATTCAGTATTTCCATTCTGGTTGTTCCATTTAGATTAATCTAGTTTTCCTGTCCCCTCATATTCTTATCTTTGTTTAAAAATAATTGTTGACTTTTATTCCAATTCCTTTTTAAAACACAAATTCATAAAGAAGATCTGCTAATATTACTTAGTTCCAATTATTTCTGCATTAAAGACAGTTTCTTAAAACTTGAAGGCCAACTTTTTATTTTTTAATTTTTATTGTGATTTGAGTGAAAGTTTACAGAGCAAATTCACTTTCCATAAGCAGCTCACATACACTTTGTCTCATGACATTGACTGTAATTTCCCATAGTGCAACAGCCCCATTTCCTCCCCATAGTTACCTCTTCCCTTTATCCTTCCCTTCCATGCACTCCTTTGCACTGTCCCCTGCCCCCCAGCTGTCTCCCTATGCACACACAGCTCTTCTATTCTCTCCCATGATTGCAAGGAGTATATCTACCTAATGTAAATGTTCACCTCATATGCCTGTCTTTTGTTTGGCTGGAAGCCATGAGAGTGGGTTCAATTCCAGACCTGAAGGGCAGCTAGGGGCCATAATCTCTGGTGTTCAATTCAAGCTCTATCAGACCAGCAAATCCATTCCCTTTTACTTTCCCCCCAAAGATACTGAGTTTTATTCCACATTGTTCTCTCACTCTATCCAGGATCTTCTACACAGATCCCCCTTTAAGTAGTTGACAGTGGTAGCCGGGTACCATCTAGTTCTTCTGGTCTCATGGTCGTATAGACTGAGGATTGCATGATGTACCGGTCACCTGGACTAATTGTTTCCATGCATCTTTGGTTTTTGTTATTCTTCTTTGTTCTGGACGAGGAGAGACCCATGGTTGCATCTAGATGGTCACTTGCAAGCTTTTAAGATTCTAGTCACTACTCGCCAAAGCAGGATGTGGAGCAATGTTTTTGTGTAGTATGTTATGCCAATTGAGCTTGATGTCCCCTGTGACTATGGTCCCGAGCCCACAGTTCCAAATGTGTTATGTATCAGATTCTACTGATTATTCTCCTACTCTTGAGATTTTATATTTGTTTCACAGTTTTTGTGGGAATATCTCAGAAGTTAAAAGATTCTGGCTACCATTAAATAAACTGTGTCTGAAATAAATTACAATAAATAGAGCAGACGTGATAACAAAGAAAAAGAAAACTATTGTATTTCTCTGCATACAGTTGATTTTGTATTGATTTGCAGGAATGAGGTACAAATTACCTGATAAAATGGCTCTTATGAGAATGGAATAGCATGGTGCCTAAAGGACTTGACTGCTAACCAGAAGGCTGGAGGTTCAAACCCACCAGCCACTCCTCGGAAGGAAGATTGGGCAATCAATCTACTTTCGTAGTGATACTGCCTCGGAAACCCAAGGGTTTGACTCAACAGCACATAACAACAACAACAAAGTAACATTTCTTATGCATATTTGTGATAAAATTAAGATATGCATTACAAAATAGAAAGTGACAAACCATTCATAGTCATTCCTACCACTCAAAGGTGACCCCTACTAAAAGTTCAGTGCATTTTCCTTCCTGCCTTTCTTGTCCTGTGCTCACTTTCCTGCTTTTTAAAGTTGAATTTTAATATAAAATAGTAAACTCTTTGGAAATAATTATTTCAGTATCTATCTTGTGTTACTTATATAAAGACTTTGGAGCAGTAGCTGTTACTGGGGTTGATGTTTTACACAGGTTCATTATTAGAGTATTAGTACTTTGTAATAGGACAGATATGAAGACAAAGACTGGTTGGTTCAGAATCCCCCAGTGTGGTTGTGATAAGAAGGCCAAAGGAAGAACCAAAGAGGATAACTACCAAAAAAGTGTCACAAACTGCAAGACAATATCCAAACCGACATGGTCCAGAAGGGCTGCCAAGATCTATGCAGAATCTTAGTGTAAATGCCCAGGGTGCTGCTTTTCTGGTAGCTGCCCTCTACCAGTACTGGGGGATTTAAGCAGCTTCCGAATGAATACTGGGCAGGGAGTATTCATGTGGTGCTAGTCATCTAGGAGCAGAAAGAGCTGGCTCAGTCCTCTCACAGGTGTGACCTGGGAAGGAACTGGACTCACCAGTGTGGCTGTGCAGAGCCAACAACACAAGTGCCAGCATACAGGTGACGAAACCTAACCCCAAAAAACTTTTCCCAGCAGTCTCATCTCTGTCATTCTAGGGACCCCCGTAAGTCAGCCCCTAACTGGAGAGAGGATTCAATTACTACTAATAATAAACACATAACAACAATAATAAACAGTCCTGATAAAGACTTAATGGCACTCAGATGTTTGCTGATTAGTTAAGTGCACAACCTAGTTCAGCTGACCTTGGAAAAACACCTTTTGAGACATGAATACCCCAATGTCAAGTAAAGTGAATGGGCTTCCAGACACAGAGCAAAGAATTCTTCTAGTCTCTGAAACTTTGTTTAGAGCATGACAAAAGTTTAATGTTTGTTAAATGGATCAAGAAACAAAAGATAAAGTTCAGCTGCAGGAAGACTTCTAATATGACTGCTCTGTTGAATTTGTCCTGGGAAAATCAACTCAAAGAAGGGCTCAGTTTTCTCTAACTGACCAAGCATGTGCCAAAGGGAAGAGCTCTGAGAGTTAAATTCAGGAACCAGATAACTGCTCACACACCTGGGAGTGGAGAGCAGGGGACAACACTTGAAAGCCCACAGATGGCATTAGTTGCTGCACTAAATGAAACTGCAAATCAGCCATCTTTGTGCAGTGATTTTCAAATTCCTTCACAGCCATGGGAATAATAAAGAACAATGAGAACAGACCAAAAGCACTGGCACAAAAACCAATGCTTCTGTTTAAACCAAATATGGAGTTTGTTGTTGTTGTTGAATATACACACAGAAAAACAGACCAACTCAACAGTTTCTACATGTCCAATCCAGTGACACTGATGACATTTGAGTTGGGTAACCATTCTCTCTCTCTCTGAGTTGCTCCTCCCCCACTGACATAAACTTACTGCCCCCAGGGTCCCTATCTAATCTGTCAATTTGATCCCCTATGTTGTTGCTGTTATGTGCCGTGGAGTTGGCCCCAACTCATAGCGACTCTTCTTTGGGTTTCTGAGGCAATATCACTACGGAAGTAGATTGCCCAACCTTCCTTCCGAGGAGTGATCCCCTATAGATAGTTCTTAAAAGAGCACAATGCTCAAGGCAGATATTTTTTTACTAGTTAAGGTAAACTATTGTTTGGTTTTAAGAAGCCTTCAGGGGATATAAAACCAAATCTCTTTGTCAATAGTACACAGCTGTGTAAAGGGCATACGTACCTTTAGTCGGATGACCTCCATGCAGTGACCATCCTTGTTCCTCACATTCTTTTCCCACAGCAGATTCTGTGTCAAGTGGCATCATTTAATAAGACCAACTATGGTTCATGAAAACAACAATGTAATGGAACAGCTGATATATCTTTAATGGGTTACAATGGCATTCACCTGGATAAATACATTTAGGCTTTCTTCCTTTGCATTTCCTGGTATTTCAAATGTGACTGTAACAATATTCTGTAAATCAAGAGACATAATAATTATTTTCTTACAGTAATACCAATATATATTTTTAAATTACAAGTTTTGAGATGAAAAGTAAGGAACACATCTCATGACACTTGGGGTTGCCTGACAATGTGTACTATGTATTAGTTTTTCTCTGTGTCTGCCAACCATGGGCTTCAACAGCTCCGTTTCTGTATTCTTCCAAGTTAATCAATGCTCTAGTGGTTAAAGCATTTGGCTGCTAACCAAAAGGACAGTGGTTTGAACCCACCAGCTGCTCTGTAGGAGAAAGATGTGGTAATCTGCTTCTGAAAAGATTTACATCCTTGGAAAGCCTATGGGGCAGTTAGTTCTACTCTGTCTTCTAGGGGCCCTATGCGTCAGAATCAACTCAAACACAGTGGGTTGGGTTTGGGCTTTGCTTCTGTAAAGATGACAGCCTTGGAAACTCTATGGGGCAGTTCTACCCTATCCTACAGGGTTGCTATGAGTCAAAACTGACTCAATGGCAGCAGGTTTGGTGTTTAGTACTTACAGAGAAAACCCTCATGACATGATGTCCCACAGGGACTCATTATTTGACTCACTCTTCCCAGATTCTCGGCAATAAGAAAGGAGGTAACACTTACGGTGGTTACTCTGTGCTAGCCAGGTATGTTTACATGGTCCCTTCATTGCATCTTTTCCTTCACTCTTCTCAACAATCCTATGGGGTAAAGATAACTATTTCTATTTTATAAACTGGTAAAAATGAGGCTCAGAGAAAGAACCACAGCCAGGAGTAAACCTCAAAATCAGAAGTGTAATTCTATTCTCTTGGAAAAACAAATATAAAAGAAAGGTTCAGTTTATGGTAACTGACTAAGCCTGTGCCAAAGGAAGAAGAGTTCAAAAGACATAAATGATGGTGACACCACCATTTCTGCTTTCTGAAGGTCCATCATCATTTACAGACTGTTAATGTGGAGGTCTTTTTCCTCACAATCTGGATAAATGTTTCACTCTCCACTCTGAAGAACCACAAGCTGAATACTTCCTCTGACAGGCCACATAAGTAAAATCCAAACCTGTTTGCCACTGCACCTTCATGATGAAAACACACAAGGGGCAGCATAACATTATGGAAAATACAGAAAAGCCAGAATTGGTTTTATCAAATGTCCTTAGAGAATAACTAAAGACCAGTGTCAAAGGCCCATTCCAGCACAGAATCTACTGCCGTCTGGTCTGCACTGCTGCCAGAATCAGCAAGAGCACAAAGGGCTTTCTTGCTCAGGTATCAGAAGTATGAGCTGAGCCAACTAAAAATAGTCTCAAGTTGGACTTTAAAATGTCAGAACACAACAAGTATTACTTTCAAAATCTTTATTAACATATTCTGCTCTTAAACTGTTTTCATAAGGTTAAGGCAATAATAGTATGCTTTTAGACCCAATAACATGATTTTTTTCTTCATAGAGGCAATCACTGCAAATAATACTAAAACTCCTTCTCTACTCAAACCACTTTGGTTTGGTGGATTCTTATCATCTATTAAGAGGCAGGATTAAAAAAAAAAAATTCCCTGATATTGAGTTGATTCCAACTCACAGTGACCCACAGGACAAGGGACAAGCTACCTCATAGGATTTCCAAGGCTGTCACATCGTTCTCCTGTGGAGCAACTAGTGGGGTCGAACCACCCACCTGTTGGTTAGCAGCCGAAAGCTTAACCACTCACTGCACCATCAAAGCTCCTTAGAGGTGGGATTGTTGTTGTTGTGTTGCTATGTGCCATCAAGTCGGACCCGACTCATAGTGACCCCTCCTTGGGTTTCCCAGGCAGTATCACTACAGAAGTAGATTGCCCAACCTTCCTTCTGAGGAGTGGCTGGTGGGTTTGAACCGCCAGCCTTCTGGTTAGCAGTCAAGTGCCTTAGGCACTATGCTACCAGATTAAAAAAATACCTGTCTAGAAAGAGTTTTAATAAGATACCATAAACACAGCCAACTTAAGAGAAATAATTTAAAAAAAAGGCTTTTCAAAGCTTTTTACCTGATCCAGGTGAGGCTGGGCTGCTGACATCTGTTGAAGTTTTTCCTGCAAACTAAGAAAACCGGATTAGAAGTTCAGAAACCAATAAACTTCTGACTTACAAACAGAAAGCAAAACAAGGACAAGACTCTGCATCACAGACTCTTTCAGCATTTCAATTTTACATGCTGTTCACATGTTCTAACAACTTGGTACACAAAAACTTTTCTTAGAGAAAATGTACATACATATACATGTATGTGTTACACACACAGTAAACACGAACACTAGTCTTTTAGCAACACTATTTTGTGTGGTTACATATGTCATATATTTTTTTTAACTGTACAAGGCCACTACTGTAAAAAGTTCAAGACAAAGTTTACTACTTTAAAAACAAATAGTATTTAAAAACAAACAGGAGCTCTGGTAGCATAGTACCTAAGGCACTTGACTGCTAACTAGAAGGCTGGCAGTTCAAACCCACCAGCCACTCATCGGAAGGAAGGTTGGGCAATCTACTTCCGTAGTGATACTGCCTCGGCAACCCAAGGAGGGGTCGCTGTGAGTCGGGGCCGACTCCACGGCACACAACAACAACAATAGCATGAGTTCAAGAGCTCTAGTGGCATACAAAAAGTCAGAATCTCAAAAACGCCTTATTCTGCTCTGAAAAGAGCAAGATCAATACAACATAACCAACTACAACCCTAACAACTGCAGCTACTTGT